CCACCATTGCCCCTGCCACACAGCATGGGTTTTTGCCCTGGTCCTGGCTCCTCTATGGTTGTTGCTGTCTGGTTGCTTGTACTGCTATTGTGCTGGGAAACAGTTAAGGTGCGGTGGTCTGGCTGAATGCTCAGGAGAAAGAAGAGGGGCTGGAGCTATTTTCTGCAGTGGGAGCCATCCAGGCCTTAGGTTTGGTGGGGGGGGGGCACATGGCAGGGCCTGCAGGCAGGATCAGTACCCCCCTCTCACCAGGGGACCTGCAGGTGGGGTGCCCACAGCAGTAGCAGCAGTGGCACCTGCAGTGGCAGCACTGTTGTTTAAGAGTTGAGGTAGACCTGCTAACACAAAGAGAGGTTAAAAGTCCCTTCTGGAGGCCTAGAGACTCTGAAAGTGGGCTATTTAAATTCATAAAATGTTTGGAGCTTCCCTGGGTAAACAGGTTCAATGTAGGAAGATGCTCTCAAATGCGTTTCCTGTAAGTGGTTAAGAACACATTACAGGGGGGACAGAGAAGCAGGAACAGATTGACCCATTTGTCACAAACAAACATTAAATCAGTGGCAAACAAGATTAACAAAACAAAGACAGAAATGAACCAAGCACTAGTTCAACAAGTCAACAAGTCCCAGGCAATGTCTTGTCTTAGGACAGTCTTGGAGATTTTAATGTTGCATCCAATGTCTCCAAAGACCTCCAAGGGGCACTGCCATAAAAACTAGAACAATCATACCAGTAAGGATATGGACTGCTTGCTTCGCATTAGTGTGCAGGGGTTTTGGTTTCTCTTTGAAACAAAGAGATTCCTCAGGGACAAGGAACTTCTCTCAGCAGGCCCCCTGAGGAATAATCGCCTCAAAGAGAGACTGGGATCCCCCAAATAAGGTGGGTTTGTGAACAACAATATAGGAATCCAAGCAGCCAAATATGATAAATTTGGAATTTAATTAACTCAGGACCACTTGTATATAGACTCCCCCCAGTTCAGGGTCCAAGCAAGTGGCCCCGAACTAGAAAGGTATGGAGTTTTTGAAAGAGAGAATCACAAAAGATATTCTGTTGGAAACAATTTAGCTTGAATCTTTCATTTCAGTTGACACCTGTATCTTGTTGCTTTTGTTGAGCAGGTTAATTTTTCTCCTGTAGGTAAAGCTCATTCTGCTTTTTTCATGGGACTTATACCCTGAGTAATTTTCCATTTACTTGAATTAAGGCACTAGTGAAATGCAGAGCTTAAGATGGCATCAGTTATGCCAACCTACAACAGACAGCAAAGAGGGTTTTGTTACTCCAGCGAGAATAAATAGTAACCAGTAGTTCATCAGATGTGGGAGCAAATGCTAGTAACCAATAATTCCTTGTAGGGAGCCATGAACAGCACCCAGTAACTCCTCTGGGTGAGGGCAGCGACTAGCAACTAGTAACATCTAGGAGGTGGACAGAGACTTGTGTCCAATGACTCCTAGGAAGTTGGCAGTGGCTAATTACCCAGTACCTCCTCTGAGGTTGGAGGCTGTGACCAGTACCCAGTAACTCCTAGGAGGAGGGTTGTGACTCAGGATACCAAGCTCTGCCTGTTTTCATGAGTCATAGTGAGTAGTGCCCTCAATTTTCACCCTAATTTCTGGACCAAACTCCCCTGTCCCCTACCCCTTCCCCCTGTGAAAACAGCAGCACAGACTCTGTGCCAGAGCTGGGCTCTCACAAGTTTCTTTAACCATGCCCACGCTGCAGGTACCATCACTTGACTGGCACTGAAGCTGTCCTTTCTGTGCCAGCCCTTTTGTCTCAGCCCATGTTTTATGAGATAAGATTCATGGTGAGACTATGAATTCTGTGAACACAGACTCCTCACCACCTGCTTTGGCTGTGAAGTACAAGAACAATGCTATGTGGATACTGCAATGTACTTGCAGTATTCTGCCAAACAGGCCCTGTTCATGCTACCAGCATTCAGAGTAGCAGGGGAGAGTGCACAGTCACACTGTAGCCTGCTCCCACCCAGAGTGGTGAGGGAAGCACACAGACTGTCACTGGCTTCTCTAGCCTCCTGTCCCTGCTGTTTCCTTCTGAGTCCTTCATTACATTCTGTCTTTCCAGGGGAGTATTTTTGAAGGTGTTTTAATGTTTAAAATACCCAGCAGCTCCAAGCACAATTTTCCATCTCTTTTAATTAGCTTGTTAACTTTTTCTTCTTTATCCATTATAGATCTACTCTCCTTTACCCTTATGAAAATGCTTTGCATATTTATATTGTTCTAAACCTTTGCTCTTTCCAAATCTGTTGTCAAGCAGAACTAGAGATGTGCCCTTTTTCCATTAAAATTTCAGCAGTGCATAGCTTTTAATTACCCTTGCCCTTCTCCAACAGGAAAGTTTCCAAACATAAAATGATAACCAAAAAGCGTCCATATGTAACTTGCTGCCTTAAGCCAGAGAATAAGGAAAGCTGTGTGTTACCCTGGGACCTTTGTTTCTTCTGTTGCTCTAAGCTGCTTGGAACCTCCAGCGTTGGTGGGTCAGTCATCTGTGCTTTGGGCCTCAGGGGCTCCTGATTGTGCCTGGCCATTCTTGTAGGCACTGGGGATGATTTGTGTTTCTTTCCTGGGCCAGTGGCCTGTGGCTGTAGGTGGCACTGAGAGTCACCTGGCCCTCTTTCTAAACTCATGTTGTGTCCTTAGCATGCTGCTGAGTTGGCCAAAACAATGGCGCTATTTAACAGACTACTAGAGAGTGAGTACTAGGGTTGGGCTTGGGAGAGTCAAGACTGGAAGCCACATGGGCAGAGAGCAAGACACGCTGTGCCTCACCCTGACTGTTGTCCCCAACTGTGGCACTCTTCTTGTGCCCATGCCCATCCAAAAGCCTACTATTCCTGCTCAGGTGACCCAGCTCTTTGTAAGCATTGCCACATACCACATCGGGCCCTTATGTCCTGCCCACATTTCTCCTCAGCTGGCCTTCTAGACCCTGCAGTACACTGACCACACCTGCTTTTTCCTACATCTGTTCCTTACACACCTCCCAACCCTTCCCTGGACAATCAGTGTTATCCTGATTGTCCCTCCTATAGAGTTGTCCCTCAAGGCCTACCTCAGGGTTCCTCCTATCTTATTATCACCTTCAAAACAGACTGCAACTTTTTCTGCTTATTTACTCTCTTAAGTGGAAGAGAAACACCTGTGTAGTTCATGAGTCAAAGGCACAAAAGCATAAGGTACTGTGTGCTTTTAGTGCATACAAAGGCTGAAACACAGCTGCCCCTTCCCAGGGGGGCCATGCTTGTGTTCCTGGTCACTAAGTGTTGGCACAGGTCTGAACCTCCAGCCTTGACCACTCCTGGGTCTCAGCTCAGGAAAGTGTCTTGTGTGTCTGACAGTAAAAATGTGTGTTCAGTCCTTTATTCTCAAAGCTGATAAGGTTTTGGTCTCCCTTCCAGGGTTGTAAGCTCTTTGGTCATTGGCTTGTAGATTGGGCATGGTTCTTTGTGGACTAAGGTTCCTGGACACAGGCCTGAGCTGTGTGGACTAAGTCTGGTAAGGGAAGTAGGAGAATAGGCCACCTGTTTGTGCCTCAGGGTCCAGTGAGCTTGTGGTCCAAGCATACTCTGCCATAGCTGTCACTGGTCCATGGCTGTTTCAGACTTCTGCTCAATGCCACAGAACTTTCACTGACCATCAGAGCCTAAATCTCAGTGAGACAGGGAAATTCCCAGAAAACCACGTAATCAGAGACCGTCTGTGATGTACATGCTGTCTCTCCAGCTCACAAATGCCCACCCCCCATGCTCCTACATGTGAAGACACATACATGCACACACACATACATACTTACCCACATGCACACATGCACACACAGTGCTCAGCCACCAGCAGATGCTATGGTCCTCTACCCTCGCAATGCCCAGTGTTGATATGGCACCATGGCTCCTGGTGAAGACAGGACCCGCCCACATGCTGTGAGGCTCGTGGACTCAGCATAGACCTGAGTGGCACATGGGGAACTGCGCAACTGCCCAGCAACCCTGCCTGCCTTTCTCTGCGCCATCTCAGTGCTTGGCCCTTGGGCATCAATCCAGAGGCTGCTCTAACCACAACATCTTCAGAGTCTAGAGCCAAAATGTCGCTAATGTGTACTGCAGGGTGGGAGGGTCACCCCTGAGACCTTGGGTGCAACAATAATGGAAAAGGCCTGGAGTCCCCAGGACAAGGCTATGAGGCTCTGGGACTGCTCAGGGCACATGCAAAGGTCACATGGCTATGAACAGGACCTTGAGGTCCTCTTCTGCTCTGTATATGAGGAACCATGGTCCTTGTGTCCTGAGCAGCTCTTTGAGCAAGGGCAGCTGCCTGCAGAGCAGGGTTTTACCTGGAAAATTGCCCAAACTTGTCCATGGTAGAGGTGCCTAAGAGCAGGTGTCCTTTCATGCTGGAGTGAGGGCACTACCAGGGCTGCCCTTGGTTAGGACCAGGGCCTCTGCCGGACCTGTACCCTCTACTGGGCATAGGCAATGCCCAGAGACTCAGTGGCTTGTTCCCAGGTGGGAAAGCAGCAGGAATTCAACAGCTGCAGGGCTTGCACAGGAAACTGTCCCAGTGCAGGAGCCTCTGAGCATGCTAGGAGAATGTTTGTGTCCCACTGCCCTGCAGAGGCACCAGTACATGGGCTACACAGCACTGTGATTTCCTTAGTTGTGTGATATTATCAGGGCTTGACAGAAAGCTATCTGGGCTTTTCAGGAGAGCTGAGTGGACATGCATGGGGTTGTGGCTGGACCAGGGCTCTGCGAAAGTGTAGAAGACAGTGGTTGAGCATCCTCCTGAGGCTGGCCCCATCTACTGGCCTAGGACTTTGTAGTCTGTGGAACACTTCTGCCTGGTTTGGAGGAAAGAGGGAAAATGAGGCTACTGTCTCATCATCTCCTCAACAGCTCTGGAAGACCATCTTCAAAGTTCTTCATGAAGAGCACTAACTGCTTGGTGCCACTTTTTGTGTCTCCCCAGAAAGAGAAGAAGAGTGGGCTGCTGAAGCTGCTGGCTGGGGCATCCACCAGGAGGAAGTCACACTCCCCACCATCCTTCTCCCCAACCCATGACCCTCCAGTAGCTGCAGACACTTCGCTGCTGGGTGCCATGGGCCCTGACGTGTCCTCTCTGTCTGTCCACGGCAGGGCAGGATCCTGCCCCATTGAGAGTGAGATGCGGGGGGCCATGGGGTTGGAGCCACTGCACAGGAAGACGAGCTCCTTGGATCTGAACTTTTGCTCCTCCCCTGCCCGGCAGGCTACCCTCTCCATGGCCGCCATCCGCCCGGAGCCCAAGCTGCTTCCCAGGGAGAGGTAAGAGTATGCGGGCTGCATCCTCTGTGCCATGCACCTGGCACCCAAGGTCTGGAACCCTTCTTGGCACAGAGGAAAGGGTCTTAGTCTACCTATCACCCCTTATCACCCAGCCACTTGGCTCCAAGCAGGGATGAGCTTGGGTTTTGAGGAGTCCAGTATCTGGAGCTGATGTCAAGTTCCCAGCCCATTTGGTGCCTGCATTCAGGACTGCAAGGGACTTGTCAGGAGATTTCTTAGGACTGGTGTGGGAATGAGCACAAACATCAGGAAATCAGGTAGTGGGGGGACTGTCCCCCACCCAGGGACCCAGAATGGGCCCCTAAGCTGAGCGTCATTTGCTGTGACATCTTAGACTTCGATGATGTCTCCTCAAATTGACTTAGAGGGCATGTAGCCCACTAGGGTGAACCATCAAAAATGCCAGTGCTCATCCATGTTTTTACATATCATTCAGCCCAGGCTTTATGGATCTGGAAATGTGGCATGGCTTCAGGCACTGAGTTTAACAGAAGTCAAAGCTCTCATCTGGCTGGGTGGGCGGCTCTACTTACTTCAGTGTCTGTCCTGAAGGCTCGAAGGCAAGCAGCAACATGGCAGAGATGCAGTCGCCAACCTATTACTGAGGGGCAAGGGATGGTGCCTTGCTCAGCTGTTGGGCCAGCACTGACACAGCTGATCATGAGGGATGGGCTGAGAAGACACCCTGACCATGTGGCACTGCAGCCCGAGACCAGGTTCTTGCAGTGGCAGGCACTGGGAACCTTCCACCCAGATGGGCCATATAACTCATATCATACACACACACACACACACACACACTCCCCCTTCTCTCCTTCCTGCACTTCCCCTCCACCTGGAAGTCCCCTGTGTCTGAGACCCCCAAGCCAGTGCTATCTGCTACTCCACTGTCCTGGCCTGTCCTAGCCTGCAGGCCCAGCAGTCCCACCCCATTCACCATTCACCGGCCCTGAGTGGGTCTGTCCAGGAGAGCAGGCCTGTCTGAGCTATTTCACAGCCTTCTGTGTAGGCCAGAGAGCCTGTCACCAGCCCTTCCCAGGGACTCTCCTTTTCCTCTGGACAGTGTCCCAGACAGCCAAATCTGGAGCCAGATTTCTTGGGATCTTGCAGAAGAATAGTAGTTAGGGCAACAGTCTCCTGCCCCATCCCCCTGTGAGGGCAGTGCTGGCCCAAGACCAGGTATGCCAGCCAGACAGGCTGAGCACTGAGCTGCAGGAGGCTTTGGCAGATGGACAGCCTGCTGTCTGTTTCACCCAAGCTGAAACCCAGCTTCCTCTTTTCTCCAGCCCAATCCCTGGGCTTCTGTACCAGGGGTTGATGACATTTGCCTGATATGTATGATATATGTGAAGCATGTAGACTAATACCTGAAAATTATGCATGTGTAATGAATTATGACTTGACCTGCATTGTGACAGAATGCAATAGTGAGAGTAAGGTGGTGACGGGGTCCCGAGCGGACCCCTCTGGCCCAAGCTTGTTCCCCACAAGTTCATAGCCCACGTGCTCCTGCTCAGCATTTGCTGGCCAGGTATTGCTTGGCTTTGTCTTTTTTTTGGTCCAGGATATGCTATGGTTGGCTGAATAACAGCTCCTAGAATTTCCTTGCCCTTGTCACCCAAAGCCATGAATCTGCCACCTCATGTGGTAGAGGAGAGTAGAGTCTGCCAATGGCTGATTGGAAGGAAGGGGGACATCCCACCTCATCCATCTGGCCAGTGTAGCCACAGGGTCCTGAAGGGTGATCAAAACCCTGCCATGTGAGGACTTGACCCCTGATCTCTGAGGGGCAGAAGGAGGGATACAGATGACAAGATTCCATGAGCCACTGGAAATCACTAGCCTTGAAGACACCTTGGTTTTGGCCCAGCAAGACTTTGTTGGATTTCTGCCTTCAGAACTGTGACAATGGACTCCCATGGCACAAGGATGCTCTGCCTGTGGCTATTTGTTACAGAAGCAGTGACCCCCGGGTCCAGTCAGTTCTGGTGTACAGTGGCTTACTCACAAGTTCGACATAATCATGGTGATGTTTTCACTCTCAGTGTAGTTTTCAGTCAGTCATAAGACAGGCTTTGTTTGAGATGACCTTGCCTGAATGTGCATGTGGCAGGCAGGCTGGGATGGGCATGGTGCTCTGGAGGGAGGAGGATGAACACAGTTCTACCCACTGTGGGCTCAGTTTGGGGTAGTGGCCCCATTGCAAGCTCAGGAATATGGCACATGTGTCACTGCCTTGGTCTCGTGGTATGGCATGGTCATTTCCAATGTGCCAACCTGACACCAGATCAGTGATCCACTTTTTCAACTCTATTTGAGTAAGGCTGCTGAGAAGGCTGCCATTTGAAGCCGCCTAGAAGCCCTGCTGTAGAGGCAGATGACATGGAAGAGGCCAGACACCCATACCACAGGTGGGCTAGAAGCCATGTGGGCACCAGAGATTCCACTCAGACTCTGACCTGGAAATCTGCTGCAGTTCACACAGCCTGCATGTGCTCCAGAGGGCAGAATCACTAATTTATAAAAACTAGTGACTGCTACTTGGGAGCAGTGGTCATCCTTTGAGGCCCATGTGACCTTGTTATTCCAAGACAGGGAGTGCCAGTTTCTTCCCTGCCTTGAGGGACAAGTCCCGTCTTGGAGCCATCTGGACAGAAGCAGTAAATGCCCCTCTTGTAGGAATTCACTGCATATCCATCTGGGTTCCTCAGTCATTGAGTTGCTCAGAAACACCAAATTACTTCTTTCTAACAAATTACATTTTTAAAGGGGCTTGTCTATTTTACATGTGGCAGAGCTGATGCGAAGCATCTGAGAAGCACTCACCCTTTGCTGTTTTTTTCTAGGAAGGGAGGAGGGGGAGGAGCTAAGAATATGTGGACATGGTGGGGACAGAGTGGCTTATATCAGGCCGTGTGACTTCACAGACCACTGGCAGGAATGCTGACTGCAAGAGCTGGGGGAACTTTGTTTCCTGCCATCTGTGTTCCCAGATCTTGTGTTGTGCTTGCAGCCATGGCTAGCCATGGGAACTAGGCTAGCACCTGCAGCCATCCTGAGGCCTTGGTTGATCTTCTATGCTGTGCCCAGGCCTGACCAGCCCTGCTGCCTCTGGACAGGAACACACACCTACCTCCCCCTTGCTGGTACTGCCTGAGGCATGATCAGTGACCCAGCTGGGAGGTTCCTGATCCTTCTCCATCTACTTCTTCTGCCCTAGCTGCTCCAAGGTCATTGCTTCTCAGGTCATGCTAGACTGGCAGATGGTGCCAGAGTCTCATCCCCAAGAGCATTTGGGACCCCAGTGGGTGAGGTCCTCTTTCCTAGGACACAAACTTGTTCTGCATTCTCAGGAATACAAATGCAAATATTTGCTCCTAAAAGTTGTCAGAGTCCACATTCTCAGCTCATTTCTACAGATTGCTTCACTAGATCTAGAGATCTCTTCTGGGGCTGCTGACGACTTGTGGACCACATGAGAGGGACTGACCTGGCAATCTGTTACGTTTTATAATGTCCTGGTTTAGTGTTAGTCCAGGCTGCCAGGTGCAGACTGAGTCTCAGGCCCTCAGCAGAGTGTTGGTGAGAGGATTGGACCTTAGTTTCCCATCTGGGAGTACCTGCTGTACCCAGAGGGATCTTGGGACTGTCAGAGTCTGAGCTTTGAGCCACAAGTACTCATTGGGTCCCAACTGGCAGCGGCGATACTGCAAAGGCCACTGTCTCAGTTTCCATTTTATGACCTATTGGTCTGAAAATGGGGGCCCCTGAGGTGGCCTTGGAGGCTGCAGGGCCAAGGTGTCAGGGAAACAAGAAGAAGAAAGTTGGGTCTTTGGACATTGGTGCTGTGCCCTCAGCCAGTGGAGCCACGAAGTTACCATCTTGTGGACATGTACAGAATCAGCCTGGTGGAGCTGTCTCCAAAGCCCCTCACCCTCAATCTGTGCACGGCTCCCACCTAGAAGTGGCTGTGCAGATAAAGTCTTGGTGTTCAGAGATGCTGATGCCCTGACAGGTACCAACATGAGCCCAAAGTCCACAGACAGGATGGTGACCGAGGACATGGGAGTCTCCTGAGCCCCCTGGGTCTGCAGTGAATGGGGTGAGGGTCAGGGGAGGTTGTGGGACTATGTCACAGCCACACTTGACATCTGTGTTTGAAAGGGTATTACTGGGAAGTTTCTAATATATTAATTAAAAATGAAAGAAGAGTTTTGAAACAATTAAAAGATAACAGGAGCTGTATAGAGTGAGGAAAGCTGGGGATTTAGCTCAGCAGCATAAGTACCTGCCTTGCAAGTGCGCAGTCCTGAGTTCGATCCCTGATACAAAAAAAAAAAAAAAAAAAAGTAGCCCTAGGCACAGGATTTGCTCAAGGGAGGAAGAGGAAGACCTAGGGCTCATGCTGTGCTCTGTCCCCAGGTACCGTGTGGTGGTCTCCTACCCACCTCAGAGCGAGGCGGAGATCGAACTGAGGGAGGGCGACGTGGTCTTCGTGCACCGCAAACGTGAGGACGGCTGGTACGAGGGGACCCTGCAGCGAAACGGACGCACAGGGCTTTTTCCAGGCAGCTTCGTGGAGAGCTTCTGAGATGGCCAAGGATCTGCCAGGGGTGGCTGGACAGCAGGACTCGGGGGTGGGGTTGCATCTTCCCCATGATACCCTCTCTCCAGTACCTGCGAGGAGAAGCTGAAGAGGACCTGGTAGTGTTGCCATTGCTGTGGCTGGTGCATTGAGAGCCACAGGAAGTGCCGGTCTAGCTTTGTGGGGCAGAGCATCTGGAGGGTCCTTCTCAGCCATCCTGTTGCTAAGCCACACGGTGCTCATGTCCAGCCAACCACTCCAAAGCTGCATCCTGCCCCTTCACAGGTGGCACCTCTGCTTCACTGCTGTTGTCTGTGCTGCCCCTCTTTTAGGCCATCTTCTAACATGCAGCGTTGACTCTGTTTCTCATGGGTCACACGTCCTCTATTTCACACATCTGGTGCTGCCTTTTGTAAAACTCTTAATGACCTGAGTGATCTTGAAAGAAACAATATCCCAGGTGGCATCTAAGGTAGGTTTTATATTCGCCATCGAGCCTCAAGCATGCAGCTGCCTGTCCTGAGCATCAGATGAGGCCAGTGCTCCATAGGTGAACAGTGGGCAGTTCGGGCATGGAGGGTTCTGGAGACAGCGAGGTAGCTCTCTATACGCCCAGTGGAACTCAGCTCTGTCTAAACAGCAAGGAGTATTATTCAGGAACAAGAACAGTGTGAAGGATCCTCTAACTGGCTTTTGCTGGAGTGGGAATAACATGGGATGACCCAGCCCGAGATGACAGTCATGTATTTTTATTCCCCAGAAAGAATAACTATCATTTGCCTTCTCAAAATGTGGGTTCTTGCCATCGAAATGTGAAGTTTTCACTACAGTTCAGATCACTACCTTGAAAAGATTTTTTTCTTCTTTTTAACAAATAAATTACTGCTCCCTTATGACCCACGCTCTGCTTTCTGTATTTAAGACAGTGAGGACAGGTTGCTGCTGATTTGCAGGTTGGGGCTGAAGAGGGCGCCCAGAGGGAGGCAGTTTCATCTCAGAGTCACAGCTCAGGAGCACATTTTGTCTCTCAGAGTTGCCAGCTTTGTATCTTCTGCTGGGCTGAATACTGAGCCCTGGTGTGGGGTGCGGCCCACTTCAGCAGTGCATACTCTTCTGTAAATCTTGGGAGAGGGCCTGTCATTTCCCTGCTCTTGTGGCTGTCCCTAGCTGCTATGTTGGGGAATTGCCCCACAGAACACACTTCGCCCCCTGAGTAACTGCACCTAAAGGGAGTGGGAAATGTGTTCTGGGTCTAAAAGGTGAACATCTGGTTTAAACAGGGAGTCCTGGGTGCTGGGTTAGTGACCTCCAGGGGAATGCGGACACTGTTATTACCCGCTCAGTTCCCCCAGGCACAAGAAGTCCTGTGCCTGTTGCCAAAAAGCACTTGAGTCAACTCTCTGGGCAAGGTCCACATTCTCCTGTGGAACCAGAATAAACCTGAGATTATAATAAAATAATCTGTTTTTTGAAGTGAGGGCAGTTACCAAGCAACAGAAGATCAGCTTGAGGCTGGCTTCCACCCAGCCAGTCCTCCAGGTTTCCTCGGGATAGTGGGGGTCACATGCACTCTGACAGGGACACAGGTCCCAGGTTTCTCTGGAGGTTCCAGCATGTGGGTACTGGGGACCACCTCTGGGGAAGGAAGCGGTACAGTGAGCCTAGGCAGCACCAGGGTGAGCTGGTGGGTGGGACCCTGGGGCAGTTGGAGCTGCCAGGGAGCAAGGAGATGCCTAACACACCCCACACACCAAGTGCCTACCCACACCCAGGGCTATGGGAAGAGCAGAACCGAGGTGGCTTCCCAGGTCAGTGTGTCCCAAACATAGTTTGCTGCCAGGAGAAACCAATGCCTGTCTGACCCTCATCTCCTGTCCTGCATGCAATGGGAATTCTTTAGCTGTGCAGGGGCATTTGGTGATCAAGGTGACATTTGTTGAGGCACACAGCATTCTGCAGCCACAGATCAGGCTCCATGGGCACCAGGAGGCAGGACCATGGACCAAAAGAGAGGAGATGGGGAAGGAGGGTTGAGTAACAGGCTAGGCATCAAACCCAGCTCAGCCAATGTCCACACAGTTCAAATACACCCAACATTCCTGCTCTACCCTGATGTCAGCCTGTGACTTTGGAAGAGCTGGTGCTAGTGACAAGCTGTGATGCCTGGGTCTCTGTGGCTTTAAAGACAATCATTGCTCGGCCTTGTGTCTGGGTGGAGGGCAGAGTGGCAAGGCCTCTGCAGTGCCCAGCTAGGAGCAGATGGAGCCCAGGTGCCCTCCCCTGCTCTGTGTGGGCCAGATCTGTGTGTACCAGACTGTGGCCAGCAACAAGGGCAGTGTGAGTCAACCCTTGCAGGTACCTGGAGGTCACTAGCTGGGCAGTGGCACCCAGTGCAAAGCCAGCTGGCAGAGAGCATTGGGTCCTCCAGGCCCTCTGAGGCTTGTGTAGCTGAAAATGTAGGGGGCTTTCTAGGATCCCTCAGCCTCCCCTCTCACAATCCCTGCTGACCAGAGGGTCCTGGGTGCCCTCAGGTGCCCAAGATGCACACTGTTTAGAACATCAGGTGGGATCTCTAGGGTGACAGCTCCCTCTGCTGATGGCTCAGGGAAGTGACTGTAGGTGGCGGCCCTGTGGAAGCCGAGGACTCCAAAAGACCTGAGGATGTGCATCAAGGGCAGCAGCCACGACGTGGGGAGATCCTGGGTGCTGGGTGGCGCTCCCTTCCCCACCCTGGGCACTGATGTTCACTCCCGTGGCATGCATGCTGAGGGTGGTCCAGGCTGTCCCTTAGGTTCTGGCCAGGGACTCTCGTGTACACAGCTTCTCTGCAGGGACCATCCAGCTGTGAGCCGTGGCTCCCATGCAGTGATCAGGGGTGGACTCCTGTAGCGCAGCAGCAGTTCCTGGACAGATGTCCTGTGTACAGGCAGTGATGAGTAAGGTCCCTGAAGACAGGTGGAGAACAAGTCAGGAGCCCATCAGGGAAGCAGGGGAGAGCAGGAGAAACCTGTCCTTTGTGGGCCAGTACAGCATACACCGAGTACATGACCAACACTTACCTGCACTCCACAGTTTCCAGGGCTCCGCATGTGCCCCGTCTGTCTTCATATCAGCTTTTCAGGCCAGACACTGTGATGGTGCCTGTTTCAGACAGGGAAACTGAGGAGGAGAGCAGATTACCTCAGAAAGTGTCTGAGGGGTGGTGCAGCAGGGCCAGCCCAGCTGCCGGCTTCATGGGCCCCGTGTCCTACAAGGCCAAGCTGAGTGGTGTTCAACTTGTGTCCCCCTGTACACAGTGTCACAGGGATCACACTCCCAAGCTGGACTAACAGGAGCTGTAGGGCTCCGAGGTACCAGGGGTCTCAGCTGCCAGCTGCCTGCCACAGCCTCTGGCAACAGTGCCCTGGGTGGTCAAAAGCCCAGCAAGCCCCTCCTACCTATCACTTCTGCCCAGGTAACTGGTCTCATGGCCCTCAGGGACAGGAGACAGACAGGACTCAACCATAGGGAGCTTGCAACTGGCATTACCCACTATTGATGTCTCTTCTGGAACTGACCAACAAATCCTAACCCTCATTGTCCTATGTGGTTATGGCCAATGACCACTTCCAACCTTCATTCAAAGGAATTTCAAAAAGAAAGGGATTCAACGGAGGGGACAGAGTCCTGAGGGGTCCTGTGGGGCAAGGGACAGGCAGCTGTGGACTCCTGCAGGATACCACAGAGGGACAGGTGGCTGTGGGGTCCCTTGGGGACACACTGAGGCTTAGAGCAGCTCCATGGACATGTCAGCCTTTGCTGGTCTTCATGTCCCTAATCTGTGGGAAACTGAGGCACCTGTGCTATGCTGGGAGCTGGACACAGCCCTTAGCTCTGTTTTCTGTCTTCAGCCCAAGGCTGGTGCCCCTCCCTGAGCTATCCAAGGCCCTGCTGCTTGGGGATAACATGGTTGGGTCTCACTCAGAACCAGGGGCCATCACCATGATGGCCCTGGCAAAGGGTCAGCTCCAGAGCCCTTACCTAACCCCACTTGTTCCTACTATGAGGAGGCCACAGCCCCTCAGCTTCTTGTAGGCAGGAGCACAACTGTCAATCACATGAATGGGAGCCCCAAAGCATGGCAGTAAATTTTCCTTGAAGCTCTTTGGGGACTGAAAGATGATAACTTCACATTGTGGTCTTGCCCTCCCCCTTGTCTTCCTTGGTGGGCAAACTCATCTCTGGCCTTTACCCCCTCCTACCCCAGCCACAAGATTGGCTTTTGCCTCTTTGGTCTGAAATCCCCCCAAGGATGGATATGAAAATCTGGCCTTAGCCTCTGGCTCCTGGTGAGCCAGGGTCCCAGGAGCCAGGGTCCCAGGAGCCAGGGTCCCAGGAGCCATGTGCCCAAGAGCCAAGTGCCAGGCCTGCTCCTCTCAATGGCTGTAATTCCCAGCCACCCCCAGTGCTGCAGCACCTTCCTCCAGCAGCCCAGTGGGCATCATGTCCCCCTCGAGCCTTCATCTTCCAGTACAATTGCCAGGCCACCATTCCTTTTGCTGATCGCTACCTTGGATCCCTGGCTGGCTTCAGGGATGTGTGGCACTGGTCACCACTTCTTTCTCTTCCCTACAGTGCCCCCTCCCTGGTCCTCACTGTGTCTCTGCCTCCATGCAGAATGCTCAAGAATTCTGGATATAGTCGTGCACCCACTACACACACACATAGGCACCCATTACCCTCCCAGCATACCTGCACAGATGCACAGAGGCAAGCACAGAAGGCACACTGGATGCTGTGGGCTGTGGTCCTCTCCACCCCAGGGCCAACCTGCAGCACAAAAGGTATGGTCATATGTTCAGAGAAGTGGATTTCTCCAGCAAACTGTAGCTTGTAGCCACTCCCACTCTGCCCAGTGACTACCTCATCTAGCACAAGGCTAGTCCCTAGAGCCAGCAGGCTACTCTTGGGGTACACAGGTAATCCTGAAGTGGGCAAGTAAACAAATCCTGGAGGAGAAAGAGACCCATCTCAAGGCTCTGTCCTTGCTCCAGAATAGCCACAGCCCCATATCAGCTGTCTTCCTAGACACAGTTCCTGAAAGTGGATGTGGGTGTTCTGGGAGGGTGATCATATGTGTGCATGTATTCAGTGCATGTGCAGTGTGTGTGCAAGTAGGATATCTGTGCACTTAAAAGCATGAAGGCAGCAGACCTAGCTGTTTCCGCCATCAGACATTCTCACAGCTCTGAGATTTGTTTGCAACTCCACCCCAGCAGATTCCTGGCTTGTGTGACCTTCTGGCAATTTCCATGTGTAGCTGTTGCTGGAACCTTACTATGATTCACAACTTACTGAGGCTGTGAGCTGGTAAATATTTCTGCTTTGGACCCACTACCATCTTACAAAGCCCAGACATGGAGATAGTAGGAGCCCACTATAGGGCAGGAGATTCCCTCATAGTCCATTTTAGTGAGCCACAATGTGTCTGCAGCCACATCTCCATAATAGGGCACACGCCCTGAGCCCTGTCATAACTGGGCTTGGTGTTTGGCTGTGTCTGATGACTGGCCTGTGGTAATCACCTGGGAAGCTGCTGGGAAGGTCCTATCCCTGGATAGGTGCTACCCCTGTGACCCACCTGCCCACAGCCTCCTTGCCTCCCTGCTCCTGCCTAGAGTAGAGCCACGGCAGCTCACTGTAGCTCAGATCCCTCTGGAGAGTTCTTGCCCTTATTTTCCACTGTCACTGAATGTCTTACTTGCTCTGGGAATGTTCCTTGAAGTTGCATCACACCTTGAGACCCCTATAACATGACTCTGGATCACATGTACCCCATTACAAACATTGTCTCCCAAAACCCTTGACTTCCAGAGTGTACTATACCTCCTCTGCTCACTTCCTGCACCTGGTGCCCTGCC